TGGGAATGTTGACCAGAGTCTGTCATATTGTTACGTAGTCCTTCCATGGGTCATATCAAAGTCTCCCTCTTGCTCCTTAGAATCCATCTGCTATCTCCCTGGTACATGCATTTCACTCGAACCGTGCTACTCGAGGTGTAATTCGTCCATCCCCTGCACCTAGGCGATTGATTAGAGGCTAAAGCCTCAGAGTAAGTCTCATGTTCATGCCTTTGCTGCATGGACCACGTCTCTTGTAAAACCTACTGTCAGCCAACTAATTCCAATCTCTATCTCTAATATCAAGTCTATAACACGGAGAAAATGGAAAGTATCCTTGGCGACCGGAACACTTATCAAATACTAAGCAAGGATCCAACCACGAAGATCAACAGCACTACTGAAGAATATGCTCAAGGAAATGCATACAAATGGGGAAATTGACAGATGGATGATGAAATCCTTAATTTAGAATATGCTCAAGGAAATGCATAATAATGGGGAAATTGACAGATGGAGGATGAAATCTTTAATCAAAAATGACGCAAGACCACTGCAGCCTACGGACTACGGAAGATACACAAGGAAGGAAATCCGCTAAGACTAATAGTCAACAACAAGCATGGAGCAATGCATAAACTAGCGAAATTTAATTGCTTGAAACTCAAGAAAGTAAATGATGACTCTCAAATACCGTCAAGAATTCATATAAGGTTTATAAAAGGATCCAGTACATTGGGTTGGTTGGGTCGGGTTCTCATGAAAAGCGCTCAAAATAGCACACCATACCACATTTAATTAAGCAAGTAAAAAAATTGTGACAGTGAAAGCATGATAGTAGGATATGGGAAATGTGAATAGCCCAGGGCAGAAGGGGAGATAATATAACTGTTTAGCACACGTTTGGTCAAAGGATCGGCTTCACTTGTCTCATTGACGAGTTGTAATATGGTGCTAAGAATGGCAAAACTCGCTGCCGACGCCGATGAAACGTCTGGGAGTGTACCACGTCCACGGTCCGACTTTGGAAATTATTATGCATACAATGGACTCCGAACAAGGTGCGTTCCTTTAAGTCTTCGTACCAATATGACCGAGTTGCGAAAACAAGATCAAACAACTTCTTTAAGCTAGTTAAGTTCATAGATATCAAGTCTAGATTAAGGAAGGATCTAGGCAGGGTTCTAACTTCGGATGATTTTCAATAACTCTAGAGCATGACTGACCAAAGTCATAAAGGGTCCTGGATCTGATAAATAAGCAGCATGACAAGAGATATATAAGCTGTGGGATAATAATACAACACAAAACCAAGCCAACCCGGGCAAATATTTATGGTTCTGGACTAAGGGCATTGTCTGCTACAAACGAAAATAATGCTTAGGTGATAAACCTATACACAATCCCTCTTTATTCTTGAACCATGGATCTTTTAAAGAAGGGGTTAAATTTTTCCCTAGGTAACGAAGGAATCTGTCTCAGTGATATTCATGTGAAAGTTGTCAACATATCGGATAAATATCCAGAAGAGACAAAGCGGGAGATGGAAA